CAGTTTGGCCTCTCCCTTGCAGAAAATTTGTTGTCTTGCAGGAGCTGTGGCACGGAGCAAAGAGTTTTTAGGAGGAAGTGAGCAGGCTGCACAACAACAGCAGAGGAGTTTTATGGGAGACGGATGGGACCTTGTCTGGGACTCAGCAGCCTGGAGAGCCTCAGCCTCCCTCTGCAATACAGAAGCAAGCAGTGTCCACTTCCATCCTCAAGGAGCATGTAAGTGTGTGGAAAAGGGAAAGGGTGGGAGCAGGTGATTTCTGACACTAAAAGGAAAGTTCGTGCCCCACCTAAAGGCTTTTAACAAGAAAACAGGCTCATCACTCTTGTTAAAGAGGAGCCACCTGTGCATTTGGGCAAAAAGTATGAGCTACCTGCCCCTAAAACAGGCCAGACCTCTAGGAAGGTGGTGTGTGACTGCAGTGGTGATTTAAATGACTATGGAGATCCAGGGGAGGCAGACAAAGGCTTCTTAGGCCCTAGAGATGTTCTCCTCAGTGCTGGCCACAAGTTGGCTGCACAACCAGTCTTGGTGAAAGGGTCTGAGGTTCTACAACCACAGAATCCTGCTTGTGGTGCAGCATCTGCTTGGGAGTGATAGGATCCACCTGGCCAAGCCAGGCAAAGGTATCTCTGCCATTGGAATGCCTGACCAAAATTTTACAGAGGGCTTCAAAGCAGGTATGGCAGTGCAGGTACTATGGGAGTGACAGGGCTGGAGAACAAAGGACTTGGGGTGACACGTACACCGAGAGCACCTCGTCTGTTCTTCAGGCAGCAATTGCTGAAAGCAGAGCAGGAAGGCTTTAAAAGGAAAAAAAAGGGGCAAACCAAACCTGGCATTATGTAATGTCTCACTGCCAGTCTCCTAAAAGCAACACAGGCAGAGCATGATTCACTTCTCCCACCACCAATATAACTAGGTAGAAATCAACAGTAACTTGAAGGAAGTCACTCCAAGGAAAAGCAAGCTCACAAAGTATGAGAGTGAGCAGTAATTTCATAAAATAGGGCCAGAGGCTTTCAAGCTCATAAAAGCCAACTCTCTACAGGCGAGGGCCAACAGGCATTCGGAATTGAAAGCATCATGCACCACCTTTTGAGTAATATAATCCCCTGAAACCAAATAAATACAATGCCTCTGTGGGCAAAAACACAGAGACAGGACTCAGCAATGGCTCTTTTTGTCTTTTGGCAGTAGTCAGTCATTAACATCAATGAACAGCCATAAAACCAAACAAGTTTATACCCAGTTCAACACCCACTTCCAAAAAATGTCTGACTACAATGGCTTGATTCCTCTTGACAACAACAAAAGGGAATTTGGTCTGAAAGCCTAAGTGCTCACCAAGGCCAATATTTTGCTTTGCAGATTCTGATTGGCTTCAGGGTAAATTATCAGTGATTACAGCTAATATCAGGATACAGTGTGAGGCAGTAAAAAGAGATAATTATGAGGAAATGAGGAATTATCTGCTGTTGAAACAATAGATCAATTATGAGGTACAGCACAGTAGCTGCAGAGCAGCATTCTTGGGCTCTGAGGGTACTGTCTTCTCTTTCTCATCGACCAAAGAGAACCCACAGTTATAAAGCTTAATTATCCTCCAGGAGCTCAAGCTTGCTGACTAATTAGTCTCTTGTTGAGACAATACAGAAAAGGATATAATTCCAATTGTCCGCAAAAATAGGATGGCACAGGCACAACCCTGGCTCTTCCCTCTGTATTTATCTCTCTTGCCTTCCGAGCATGAATGTAACAGCTTTGATATCCGTGGTTCTGGACAGCCTAAAAACAGTCCCCAGCCTAAAATAAATGAAGCCAGGGAAAGGAACTCCGGGAGGCGGGGGTATGGATAAAGGGGAAGGAAGCGGTGTGTCTGCGGCAGGGTGCAATGGCAGTCAGAGTGTTCCCGCTGCTCATCCACAGATGAGCTGTGTGAATCCTGCCTTGCTCCTGTCACTGCACAAACACACACTTGCAGGGCTCTCACAAATGCAGGCTAAGCTGGCTCTGATGCTCAGGGTATTACTACAGCAGTTGCAGGCTCTGTAGTTGCATGGCCACAGTTAGGAGTGCTTAAACTGAAGGTTTACAGTGCAAATTGTTAAAAAAGTAAGGGCTGAAGCTTTTAGGAGCCAAGTTCTTGTCTGACACACCACTGTAGTCAAGAGCTACCCCAGCCAAGAAACAGGACCTTGAGGTATACAGCAAAATACCACCAAAAAGGCACAAAAGCCTCTGGTAGATGGGTTCATCCAGCACCTCCCATCACCTCGGTAAAGAAAATGTTTGATGTCTGGGCTGATGAGCAATACAGACTATCTGCAGTAACATGTCACTCCTGAGTGAGCTTTTACATGAGTTTATGGCATAGCAAGTGCAAATAGCCATTATGATTAATAAATCAGTGTTGGTAATATTTGCAGTTAGCAAACACACAGGAAGGGAAAATGTCAGACCACATCTGCTCCGTACTGAGACAGGAGACACCTGACATTTCCTTCCACCTCAATGACTTCACTGTGCTTGTTTGGCCTTTGAAAACAACTATTATTGTGCTGAATTCTCAAAGAAACTATTCTTAGTGAACCAGAATCCCCCTTGAAATCCACCTCCTTGATGGCAAGCCTGAATTTCCTGCTGCTTCATTGGAGTGCCCCGGTGGTTCTTTGGTCAGTACCTCCCCTGCATCCAGAGTCACTGGAGCAAAGTAAAAAAGGCACAAATTGGCACCTTCCTGGGCAGGTTAGCTCTAGACACCCATTCTACATGCTGCAGGGGAGGAACTCAGATCCCACATTTCACACCATCTGGAGATACAGGTCTTCACTCACAGTTTGCTCCCTGCTTGGGCAGCGGAGTCCTAAGGGTTATAATTTGGCAGTCAAAATATGATGTCTAATTTTCTTGAGGTCCTGCCCAGCCTTTTTAAAATCTGTTTGAAACAAACTGCAGGCTGCTTATCTATCCCTTCCATCACCCAGTTCAGATGGCTCATTTCCATCAGCGTGACAGCTGTGCTGAACCTCATCTCATAAAAACACAGAGATTAGACCTGTGAATGTAAGTGCTCCCAAAAATCCAGTTCAGCAGGAGGTCAAAAGTAATTAATGCTTTAACCACTCAATGGCTGCAGGTGTGCAAGGGGAAGCATCTTCCACCAGGCCCCGAGGGGAGAGCACCTTTTACCACACGGACGCTGCTCCAGAGTTGGAACGGAAAAGGTAAGGGACTGTAATTACAGGGGACATGCTCCAAGCTTTAAAAGGCTCTCAACACTTTGTCCACCAAAAAGCTTCTCCCGGGGCAGTGACACGAGCAAAGGCAGTGGCATCGAACAGCCTCACGCCTGGACTGACCTCTATTTAAACTGATAAGTGTATGTCCATGGGCTGCAGCCCCAGGACACCCCAGACATGGAACAAGGGGAAAGCCTGGCATCCACCAAGGAGAACCTTTTATGGTCCCACCACAGCAAGGCTCTTACCAGTTAACATCAGTATTTTTAAGTAGGGTCCCAGAGTAAACAAAGCACACGATTTGGAAGTACAGATTGGACACATTAAAAGGAGCATCTAAGGTCGGTTCTGCCACATCAAACTATACGCGAGCTCTGCATCAGGGTGAAGGATAATGAAAAGTATATGTATATGTACACCATGTGAAAGTTCAGTTCCTGCTGGGGAGAAGCCAAAACATCAGCTTCCCACACCCCACACCAAGGTCTGTGTAGGCACAGACGAGAGCCAGCCAAGCTATTTGAAAAACAAAACTGATTCATTTGCAGGGATCCAAAATCAAACCCTCGAGACAAGGAAAAGATGCCGTGATTTGCTTTTTGGAAGACAAACTCCAGCCTCACCTTGGGTAACCTGGGCTCCAGATGTACCTGCAGTGGGGCAGAGTTGGGGGGCACAATCAAAGCTGTCACCTCTGCATGGAAAAGGGGAGACGCTCTCCTTTCCAGAGTGTATCAGGACCACACGCATCTTGGTCAGTTTTAGTATTTTGGTTAATAAAAAAATCTCACCCTTCTGTCTCAAAAAGGGGCTGTGCCATGCACAGGCTGTTGCAGCGCACTATGGAAAGAATGTTTGGGAGCAGACAAAGGCTGATGCTGAAAAGCATTTTTAAATTCAGGCTTGAAACAATCTGCCTTTTAACAGCCTTATTTTTAAGAGCAGGAAAATGAGGGATTGTTCCTTTTTCCCTCCTTCACAGGGTCAAAAGGGGAGGATATGGGAACAGGTTTTCCTGCGTTCAGTTTTCAGGAGGATTTTTTTTTTGCCAGTCTGCTCTCTTTTTACCACAGGCACGAAACAACCCACGGCAATCTCGCCCCTTTCAGCTGACCCCTGAAATGAATTTATGGAACACCCCTTTGAAGATGGATTTACAGAAGGTAACGTTGCTCTTCCTTCAAGGAAACTTAATCTCTGCAAATGAAGTACATGAAGAGAACAGAACAAAACCAAGGGGCCTACAGGGAAGCCGGAGAGAGACTTCATCAGGTACTGAAGTGACAGAACAAGGAGTAATAGGTACAGATTGAAAGAGGGGAAATTCAGGTTAGATATCGGGAAGAAATTTTTCCCTGTCAGGGTGGTGAGACACCGAACAGGTTGTCCAAGGCAGGCTGCGGCTGCTCCATCCCTGGCACTGTTCAAAACCAGACTGGACGGGGCTTGGAGCAACCTGGTCTAGTGGAGGTGTCCTGCCCATGACAGGGGGGCTTGGAACTAGATCTTCAAGGTCTATTCCACCCCCGTAACATTCTGTGATTCCAAATCTTCACTATGACCAGAAAGTCACAGTTGGGGGACCAGCACCGGCACCGCCGGGCACCGCACCCGCGCGGACGCACAAAGCACCGCTCGCAGGATGCTTTGCGCGTTTGTAATCACAAATCAAAACGTTTATAATGCCAGCGCTGGACAGCGATGCCGTGCGCGCAGCCCTCGCACCCCCCCCTCCCCCCGTGCCCGCCCGGCTCTCACCTCCCCTGCGCGGCGGCGGGGTGCCCGGCGGGGCCCGGCCATCAGCACCCCATGACGGGGCGGCGGCGCCGGGGCTCCTCCGCGGCGCTTCAGCACCGTGCGGGGCCCATGCCCGGGGCGGCGGCGGCGGCCGGCGGGCTCCTCATGTCGCCATGACGGGCGAGGGAAGGCTGAGGGGAGGTTGGGGGTGGAGGGGGGGGGGGTAGGCGGGGGGCCGCCGCCCGGGAGGGGGGGGGGGGGGGAAAATAGAAGAAAATAAAACAAAAAAAAAAGGGAGGGGGGGGGGGGGCGGGAGGCAGCCGGCGGCCGGCGGCTCCCGGGGGGGATCGGGGAGGGGGGGTAGGAGGGGAAGAAGCGCCGGCGAGGCGGCGCGAGCGCCCCTCAGCGAAGAGCCGCCTCACCGCCTCCCCTCAGCGCCTCCGCCAGGGGACAAAGCCCCGTGTGAGGAGGGGCGGAGGCCGCCGGCGGCTGGAGGCGGTCCTCCCCTCCCGGTTCTCCCCCCGCCGCCCGGTGAGGGTCCCGCCGGCGGGCGGCTGTGAGGGGGAGCCGGGGAGGGGAGCAGGGACTCTTTTCTCCGGCGGAAGAATCGCGCGTCTGAGGCGCTTCGCGAAGGCATCCGCGGCGCGTGCGCGCGCGCGCGCGGCGTCGCGAGAGCGCGGGGGGGGACCCCGGAGCCGGGCCGGGGACGGCGTTTAAAGTTGCGTTTAAAACACTCGCGAAGCGATGAGCAAAGGCGTCTGTTTGTAATTAAACCCCTTCTTCTGTGGACCCTCAGCAAAAGCGCCGAGTTCTTGCCTATGCTGTGCCCATCCCGTGTCTCCCAGCCTGTGTGTGCTGGAACAGACCTCCTTGTTTATTCCATAGGGATCCCTTATTTACTGCCCTGCAGAATGCAAACAGGAATTTGCCCTGGACTTTATTTGCTTCCTTAGGCCTTTCCCCAGCACAAAGGGTGTCACTGCACTTTTCCTTCTCATATCCAGGCTGGCATTCCCACTGACTGCATGACTGCCAGGGAAGCTGAGATGATGTCTTACAGCTCCATTTATTCTTTAAGAACTGTGAATGTCCAAATTCTTTTGTAACCTATTTTTTTTAATGGGTTTGGGACTGTGTTAGAATACAGTACAGCAAAGACTAGGAAAAGAATAAATACTTGGCATGCAAGTCCTGGCACGGTGAGGAGTGTCAGAATCTTGCCACACCACCAGAGGTTGAAATGAACAGATAAAAGCAAGAAGTTCAGAGCAAAGGCAACTCGTTTTCTTTAAACTCCTTCCAGTATCTGTAATTATTGGCTGTTCTGACAGCTCACAAAGGAGGATTTCCTCTAGAGATAGTAAGCACAGTGACATAAATCAAGCATGGGGAGAGCATAGGGGTTTTTTTTTTCAATTTATTTCCTGACAAATTAACTCTGAATCGGTTTGCTAAAAATTCATCTGTCACAGGCTTTTTTTAACCCTTTCCCTAGTAGCTTATAAGACTGAAATGAAAGGCTATTTTTGCTGCTCTATGCATAGGGTGAACTGCTCTTGGAATCCAAGCCTGCCATGTACTGCTCCCTTCCATTTTTATTAATTTTCATCTTGACTTTTCAAACTCAGAAGGTGCAGAGAAGGGCAAGTCCCGCCAGAATTTTTATCTCGCTTTCACAATTCCATTCTAATTCTTCTGGGACTCGTTGCTTAAGAGTCGGCGTTTAAGAAGTCTGTAAAGCTGTGGCAGTTTTCCAAGATCCCGCTGGTAGTTTGTGGCAGTCACCACAACCAAGGGATTTAGAGAGACACTGCTGGGAAAGAGAGAGAGGCAGCCAGCAAGAATTCCATGTGTTTGTCCAGGGAGAGACCGAAAGAGGCAATATTAAACCTAGGGAAAAGAAATGACCTTGGTGAGTGCAATGAGGCACACCTGGAGCACAGCCACTGTCCAGTGGCAGGCAGGTGTTTTGTGTGGGACTTGATGCCATGGACAAAAGCTGGATGTCTTGGAGCGGTGGAAAGACTCCCAAGGGCCATGTCAGCCAAGGAAGAACACTTTGGTTGCAGGGGTTCACAGCCAAAAACTGAAATGTGGAAAAGGGATCTCGCCCTGACAAGAAGGACTTGGGGGTGCTGGTGGATATGAGGCTGGATAGGAGGTGTCCATGTGCATTGGGATTGTTCAGCCTGGAAAAGAGAAGGCTTTAGGGTGACCTAATTGTGGCCTTCCAGTGCTGGAGGAGAGCCTGTAAGAAGGATGGAGAGAGACTATCTACAAGGACCTGGAGCGACAGAACAAGGGGGAATGGCTTCAAACTGAAAGATAGTAGGTTTAGATTGGATATTGGGAAGGAATCCTTCCCTGTGGGGGCGGTGAGGCCCTGGCACAGGTTGCCCAGAGAAGCTGCGGCTGCCCCATCCCTGGAGGTGTCCAAGGACAGGTTGGACGGGGCTTGGAGCAACTTGGGCTAGTGGAAGGTGTCCCTGCCCATGGCAGGGAAGTGGAACTGGGTGAGCTTTAAGGTCCCTTCCAACCCAAACCATTCTACAATTCTGTGTATCCTTGCAGCAGACATTTCTGTCTATTTTTAAACACCCTTCAGAGAAAAAAAATGGTCTTGTGGTTTGGCTCTGTGTGGTGCTGTGGAGACCCAAGTGCTGCTCCCTGCCTGACTTTTGACCAGTCAGTTAAATGCAGGGATGCAAAGGTTAAGGCTCATTTTCATACCCACCCAGCTTCGGTGCACTCAAAGTTCAGCAAGGGCTTGCAGAGCTCGAGGAGTTCAAACCTGTGTGCAGACAGCAGCTGCAGAGCAAGGATAGATTTACCCTCGTGTTGGGCAGGCTGGGAGGCTATATTCAAATAGAATTTGTCAAGAATTTGAATATCCCGAGGGGCTGGAAACATGCAAACTTGTAAAAACAACTGCTGTTTGGGTTTAGCTGGTCAGGTTCACTGTGTGACAGAGTTATCCAGTTATCCCTGTGGTTTTCCTTGTGTTTGTGCTTTGGCTCCAGTCATTACATAACTTATCTATATTTATTGCTAGCCTGTGATCCAAGCAGGCTTTGAGCAGCCCAGAGGAGGCAATATTGATGTTGGTTTGAAGAACAAAATCTTTAAAAAAAATAATGGAAACAGACTCTCAGGATTTCTTGGTTTTCCAAAAGCTGCAAAGAAAGTTAAACTCCATTTTCTTTGTGAGAGGCACAGTTTGCGAGTGTGGAATGTTGGGAAAAGCAGCAGAAGGTAATAAGGAGAATCCTAAAAACACAGTTTATGGTGAAATGACCTGGCAAGGCTTTGCTCAGCTTCCAGGGGGGAAGTGCTCGTCAGAGAAAAATCATTGGCACATAGGAACTTTCCCAGAGGAATGAAGTGGGTTTGAGCACTGAACTGTCTGATCTCTGTGATAACTGAACTATCCAAAATCATTAGTTAGTTTTGAAAAATCTTACCCTTTTTTGTGCAATGAATGAACCAATGGAATGCTGATTTTCCCAGTAAGTCGTGTGGAAATCAGAATATACAAATTATTAGGCTGCTCTGCCTTATAAGTACATCGGCCGTGCTTGTTCTTACAGGCAATAATTAGCTGCCCTTTGAAAAAAAATAATCCTGTCTTCCTGGAGAATATGTGGCAAAGGAAAAAAAGAAACTAGATGCAGGCTCCTTCATTTCTCTGAGCTCAAATGTAGATTTGCAGTGCAGCTGTTAAAGGCTGTTGACCTCAGAAAGCATCAGCAGCAGAATTACAGGAGTGTCACCTCGAGTGGAACATCTCCACGGCCTCTGAGGACTTCGTAGCTGTTCCCACCCTGCTCTTCCTACCAGCAGGAATCTAAATTATTTACTAGGAAAACAAACCCTTGTATCTGAGCTGCACAAGATTCCCTTCCTATCTGTTCCCAGCACGGAGCTTCTGGAAACACCGAGACACAGTTCTGCTTTCCACCGGCGCTGTGAAATACGTGCTCACATTTAGCAAATGAAGCACCTCTTTCACCTCATTCAGTGATTAATTCAGAGAGGAGAACTGCAGGCACTAAATTAACCTTTTTACCTGATTTAGTTTTACTAAATAAACAGCCCCATAATGTAATTTTCTCAACCAGAGCAGCTATTTCCTGCGGTTTGCTTTCCTATTTGGAACGTGTTCCATTCCAAATCTATTTCATTTCACTCGGTGACAGTAATACCTTCAGACTGTGTCCCTTTTCCCTAGGGATCGCACCTGTAAATCCAGCATTCTTCCTAGAAAATAGATGATTAGTCAGAAAAGGCTGTCACAGCATGCAGGAGCACCAGCAGCAGATGGGGATGTGCCTCCTCCTCAACAGCATTCCCAATTTTACCTTTTAGTATTGGCAGCGTGAATGACACAGGGGTGTCAATTAATATACAGGTTTTCTTCCATTTTTCCCTTCCAGAACATCAAAATTCCTTCCTTTTTGTCCGTTCCTTTTAATCAGCTGACTGTGGTTACACTCCACTGTAGACATCATCATTAATAAGTGGGTAGTTTATGTCCCAGGGAGTTGATATCAGCACCGCAGGAGTTCACAGCCTTGCCAAATGTGTGGTGTTGCTGTGCCCCTTGTAGCCGTGCCTTTTCCCATGGATCGTTTGCCGCCCTGTAACAGTGATTTTCACTTTTCCATGTGGATCAGGATCATGTTCACTGAGGGTACATCTGAGAAAGTGTATCTGAATTATCTCTTCTGGCAAGTGTCAAGGGGATGTTAGTGAAACGTGCCTGGAAACGGTAGCTTAAGACACAACTATGCTGGAAATGTTCTTGCAGCTGTTCCTTGGAAAACATCTGTGGGACCGGGCGTGGAAATTTGTACATCTCTGTTCACACCAGCACAGAGCAATTTTCCTCTCGTGCAACAAAGTGTAAATTATGGGGAAATAAGGACATTATGCACCAGTGGACATGAAATGACTAAAGGTAGTCATTTGGAAAGCAAGGGGGGAAATGGAATATTCCTTACTGGCACAGGAATAAGATAAGCAGACTCCACAAGAATTCCAGCACTCCAGCTTCTAGTATTTGAGTAGGAATAACCACTTCTCTAGACTCAATTACTTACATTTACAGTTGGAAAAAACCTTCCATCTGTGACAGTCTGTGTTTGTATTGTCTGATAAAGGGAAGAATATACGGGTTGATGTTATTTCGTATTTATAATTAGTGATTATCCCTATGCAAAGTGTAAAGGACATTGTCCCAAAGAAGTCAATGTTAGCAAATGACATACAAGAATTTAAGTAACTGTGGTAAAGGAGAGAAAGGAGTATTTTGTTTTGTAAGTATCTTCATATTGTCTCGTGGACACTTTGTGCAAAGGGACCTCGGGCCTCTTAGAGTTTAATCCCAATTATAGAAAATGGAATGTTAAATAAGAAAATAAGTGTTAAATCATAAAATAAATTTACAATATCCATTCCCAGCCCTCATAACTGAGTGCTTCCCAGCAAATCATTTTACTCAGCAGCTGCCTGGTTCTACAGGCAGAAAGGTGACTGCTTCTCTTTTTTTTTTTTTTTCTTTTCCATGGGTTAACTTTTAATGACTAATTTAAATTCCATTTATGCAGAATCCCTATGATTTTGAAAACGCCTCCTGAAATTATGCACAACTACCTTTCTATAAAAAAAACCCCAAACTTTCCAAAGCCATAAGCACAACACTGCCTAGAATTATCCTGTCAATTAAATAAAAGAACCCACTTAAAATAAGTGACAGAAATACCCAGTGAATTAAATGCACCTTCCAGTAACAAATGGTTATTAAAGGAGACCTCTGAGCAAACTGCTGGTTCTGTGGTCATGCTTGGACAAGCACAAGGCTATTGAAACACACAGCTGCCTTTCAGACAATTTAACTTGCACTGAAGGCAAATTATCGCCATTTGATGTCATTCTCTTGGCTTCTCAGAGATTCCCTTCGCTGCACAACAGTGTCAGGGGGAGCAGGACTGGGGCTGCAGCTCCAGCTGCCGATCAAATGCTGAAGAAAATGGGCTTGTGCATCTGGTAGTATTAGCTGAAAAAAGGCAGGGGCAGATATTTTAATAGGCTTGGAGAAGCAATATGGGGTTCTGGCAATAGCTGGAATGGGAATCGGTGAGGACTAAGACAAAGGGTGCCTAAACCCACCCCCTAGAGAAATCATGAATAATAATTGCAGTCACTGGGTAAGCTCTGAAGTGTGTCACAGATTTGGAGTCTTTCCTGCCTCCTCCCTTTTTCTCAGTGCCCAGAGAGCAGAGTTTCAACAAGGTGGGGCAACAACAACAACCCATGAGCAACAAAACTGCAGATATTCTTGCCATGTCCCCGGTGAAGTCACCACGAGTCCCTTCCCCTTGGTGCTGTCTGTACGTGAGGGTTTGCACTGCTCTGGGGGTGACGTCCCCCCTTCCTCTTCCCATGCCAGAGCCCTTTTCAAAGCCTCCAAAATGAGACTGGATGATGTTAAAAATATAGGTTGCACTGGACTGTTGGCTCTTTGCTCCAGATCTTTCCAGCTCTGTGTAGAGAGGCCTTTGTGACAACACAGGCTCACCAAAGAGCCAGCTCACGCTCTCCAGACTTTTCCTCGCTCTCTGTCAGTATCAGGGATCATGGAATTCTGTGCTTCCCAGCACACCCTACATGGGCTTGCTCGACACTGTGAAATAATAGACAGGGGCCTGTCCCTGGTGTTATTTCTGGAACAGAATCCTTTTGTGTCAGTGAAGACTTAGAATTTCCTTCACGAATTTAGCACTACAAGCGATTGAATTTTTTAGCTGCGTTTCACAAGTTTTCTGCCAGCTACTGGGAATAAGGACATTTTCTAGTACATTTTTGGATTTCTCTCCTCTAGTAATCTCATCTCGGGAGCCTTGTCCCAGGACTGTGGTGCAGCTGTGCTGGTATAGAGGTATTTATATAAATAAGGCAGCTTTTACTTTCGGTAAGCAAAGTATGTGGTATCAGTACATGGCAGATTTATTTAAATGAAAACTTACAGTCCATCCTAAACTTATTAAGTTTCCATTGATTTGTGCTTGGGTCTTGTCAGCTCAAAATACTTTCTGCTCTAAGTTTCCTCAGCAAACAAGCTGAGTTTCTTTTTTCTGCCCTCTCCCTTCCTTATCACAAGAGCTGTTTGGAACTTGGGGTGTGGTCTCTGGGACTAACAGACTCTGGATTTGTCTGTGTGGCCAGTGAACCTCTTCCCCAACACCAACCTCCTACTTACATTATTCCTTTAGTGGGAAGCCTGTCTCTCCTTTTTTCTGATGGGCGGCAGGTAATAAATCTGAATAAATTCATTTATTTATGAATGCTGAGCCTGACTCCACGGGCACGAGGTGAGGGGTGTGGAATTACACTCCTCTGGACAGACAGGAGCTGCACCATTGGGGACATTGCTCCTATGGCTACTGGAGGATCAAATGCCACCTCCCTTCGGGGGCTGCTGTCTGGGGAACAAGGTTTTAAGTTCTGACAGATTTATGAAACATTTCATCTCTTCCAGTGTTCCTTCCCAAAGGGCCTGGTGAGGGGAAGCCAATGCAAAGGCTTTTGATAGCTCGTATCCCCAGGCACCGGTCCCACTGCTTCTAAAAGCAACAGAATCTTCAAAACATTTCTCAGATGCATATACATACTTGTGTGTACATGTACAAAGCTGTGGAGCCTCTGTACCTGTTTTCTAATAGGTGCATTTTGGTACAAAAATGCAACTCTGTGACTTCTGCCTTCCAGTTGCCAGCACTGCTGCTGTCCTCCATACCGGGGTAATGGGGCAGCAGTGGAGCACTTGGATTAATTAGTGGCCATAAATGGTGTGGAGCTCTTTGGTTGAGTGGTTAAAGGGAACTGTTGTTCCAAGTGACCCCTGTTTTCCTTCCATGGGTGGGCAGAGGGGGCAGACTGCTTGTGTCTGGAGTGTTAATTACTCTGTGTCCCTTAATCAGGAAGGTTGTAATCCTATTTTGGTGTGGAAATCCACATGCCACAGGGCCCAATCAGCATCCCTGATATCATCCCCTGCCAGTCAATACACAGCCTTTAGCCATCCAGAACTATTCCCGAGGAACTGCTGTGCAGACATGCCAGGACAAGTTTTGCCAAGCCACACTGGAAAGACAGTTTAGCAAGGCTGGTTAAAATAATCCCAATTTAATGGGACATGCATCTTTAGGTTCCCAAAGAATGTCAGGCAGGACTTGCTGCTCTCTAAAGCACAGCATGTTACAGAACAGATAAATTGTCTTTCCTCAGAATACTGAAAACACTTCTCATCCCTTCCCCCCCACGTTCGCACTGGATCCCAAATAAATGCCACATTGAAAGAAAATTATTCCTTGCATAAGTGAAAAAAAAGAAAACAACAACAGATTTTGTTTCCTGACCTCACCACGACTCCTCCTTTGCCCACAACACTCCATTGTTCTGCCAGGTCCAGACAGCACAGGGAGCAGACTCGTTTTCCCTGTTTTTAATCCCAAAGCTGGAGTCCATCACTTACAATAAGGATCCTTGGGGTTTGGTGGGTTTTTTTCTCGATCTTACTCAGCTGTTTGCAACAAATGAGTTAATCACCAAGGAACAAAGATTGAGGCAGGGATCCTTCTCTCCCAGCTTAGGAAGTGAGCCATGCTCTGATAAGAGATTTCCCCCCTCAGGTTACGTGATGTATTGAAGGATAATTTTTCAGTGTGATCTATTAGGTTTAAATTAGTAAAGGGAAAGGAATGTATGTGTTCAAGTAGGTGTCTGAATTGGTATTTTTAGAGCTGTCATGCTCTGTGCTTGCAAAATGAACCTTTTCTGTCCTTTAGGTAAACTGGAACTTATGTTCCACTATGTTGGAGGAGGACAAACAGCCATATTCCATTTCTGTGGTGGCAAAATACACTTCAGAATGCAGGGAGAAATAAAAGGAGTGACTGCCCAGGGCATTTGGAGAACAGAGACTGGAGCTGAGAGCCTCATCCTGTAAATATCACCTGGAGGATGTCACTGCATGGAACCAGTTGGAAGTTGGCTCCACTCACAATTGTTAACAATTAACAATTTTTCAAACGGGAGCAGATCCACAGCTCCCACTTCAGAAGCTACAATGGCTTTTGTCCCCCCCAGAAATCAGCCGGTGAGCAGGGTCATTCACCCTGTGATGGGAGGGATGCTCAGGTGTAGCTGGTGGTACCTACAGGAGTGCTGGCCCCTGTCAGGAATTACCCTGAGGAAAAGTCGTGCGTGTTTACGGGAATCTTGGAGCGCTTGGCATCCAAATAAACTTGAAGGAAGCGTTGGCCGTCGTCGCTGGCAGAGCAGACAGGGACTGTGCCTCGAAATAGCGCTTGGCAGAGGAACGCTGCTGACGGCTCGCTGGAGAAGGCGGATTTGCTTTTCCAGACTGAGACATTTCATAAACAGTTTCTGTTTGTTGGAGCTGTGGAACCTCACTAGATCAAACCCAGTCCTAATCTGCTGGAGCCGCCTCCACAGGCTTTTGTCTCCACTGTGTACACATATCCAGTCACTGCGGTTTGGGTCTGTCCTAGGACATTTATCCCTTTGTGTTTGTCCACCAGCATGTTGGGGCAGCCCCACAAATCCTCCAGACGATGGGGTTTTTGTTTTATCTGGTCAAGCTGCAGGCTGAGAAGGTCTTTGACGCAGCCTCTGACTTAGGGGCCGACCCACCATCTCCTTCCTGACACACCGAGCCTTGGATTCACTTCCACGGGATGGGAAGCTTGGAAGTGCACATCCCAAAAAACTCTGCCACACCAGGCCGTACATAAACCTGTCGATTTGAGGCAGGATGCGGAGGGGTTTTAAAATCCAGGCGGGTGTTTGGAACCCTCGAGGAACAGCACGAGGAGGGTCCCACAGAGATACACATTAAACCCGCGGGGGCTGAGCACCCGCAGGCCAGGGCTCATCCTTACCCTGCACGGGGACACGGGATAAGGCAGGACGGCGGTGCGGGGGCAGAGGAGCGTTGTGGCGCACGGTGCCCGCCCGGCCCCGCCGCGGCCTGAGGGGGCGCGCGCGGGCCCTTCGCCGTTGCCGGGGCCCGGAGCTGTGGGCGAGGCAGAGGCAGAACTGGCCCAACCAATCAGGAGAGACCCGGCCTCGGCCGGCGGCCAATCGGCGCCAGTAAACAACACCCCCCCCCGCGGGGCGGGGCGGACCAATCAGGGCGAGGGAGATTTGGGCGGCCTTTTCAAAACGGCCGAGGTGCCGCTCGCGGCCCTTTAAAGGCGCGATGCGTCCCTTCGGCGTGTCCCTCCGCGCGGCCTCGCCGTCCATCGGGAGCGGCGCGGTGCCGCCCCGCTTCCCGCCGAGCCGGAGCTCCGCGGGGCCGCCGCGCCTTTCTCGGACCTCCGGGCGCTCTCGGAGCGCCGCCGGGCCGCACGGGTGTGAGCGGACTATTTGTCTTCCGCGTTCCGCCTCACCAGCGGGAATCGCTCCGCGCGCGACAACAAAAGACGTGGGCGGGGCCGCGGGGCCGCCATCTTGGAGCGGGGCCGGGGCGGGGGCTGCAGCAGCAGCGGCGGCCGGGGGCGGTGTTGTGATGGTGCCGTGACGGTGCCGTGACTCCCCGCGGGAGTCCAGGCCGCCCTGCCTGGATGCGGGGCCAGCGGCCGAGCCCACCCCCGTCCGCGCGGTGACGGGAGCCGGGCTCGCCTCCCCCTCCCCGAGCGCTGAAGGGCCGCGGGGGGGCCCGGCGCCCCCTCGTCCCCGGCCTGCGGGGCCCCTTTGTTTCCCAGGTGCGGAGGGGAAGGAGGAGGAGGAGGAAGGGGAAGATGGGCAGCGAGGCGCTGTGGCTTTTCAAGCAGCTGAACCTCCACCTGGAGCTGGAGGGGCGGTTCCAGCCCCGCGAGAAGGGGCTCAGCCTCATCGAGGCCGCCGCCGAGGTGGGTGAGGAGGGCCCGGGCCGCTGGGCTGGGAATGGGGGTGGGGGCAGAAAATGCGTGGTTTTAAAGAAAATTCGAGGTAATAGTGGACGTGCGTTACCTGCGAAAAGTTAATTCTTTCCTCCTTATGCGCCGCTTGCCTTTTGTTTTAACTCTGCCTTAATTCGTAGGTGTTAACGTTGCGTTATCCAAGAGCTGCGACCTACAGGGCAAGCAAAATATTTAGGCGTTTAGTATTTATTGTTTAGGTTTAGAGTGAGCACAGGAGCAAGCGGCTCTGTATTGTTTTCATCAGGGGAGCCTCCTGCCACCGCAGGGAAGGTGGGATGTCAAGCGGCTTTTCATTAGCGAGGTCTGGGGAAACGAACCCAGCAGCGCTCAGTGCTTTGGCAGCAAAATGTAAATTGACCGTAAACATCTTCACGTAAAAGACCAAAGTTCCTCGGAGTTCAGGGAAGGCTGCGTTCCGTCGGGTGCCTGTGAGGTTTTTTTTTTGGGAAGGGCCCTAATGTTTAACAAAAACAAGTCCCTGAAACGAGGCTGCCTGTTTGTTGTGAAAGCAGAGCTGTTGTTCCTTAAATATTGACGCGCAGGCAGACAGCTGTGTGGTCATCTCTAAGGTCAGGAGCCACTGTGTATGCCTGCACTTGGTAAATAAGTCTGAAATATGTCTTTACATAAGAATTGGAAATGTGGCTGTGCTGGGTATTGCTCTGGTGAGACTCGGGACCTGGCTGTAACCTCTGTACCTTGGGTGTGATTGGAATCTCAAGTGTCTAAATTTTTTTTTAAAGTTAAGTGAAATAAAGTATCTGAGGAAAAATAATTGCTTCTGTTTGATATAAAAAAAAGATGATTTAGGGAGTGAGTGGTCTCGGTCACTGCTGCTGCTGCCACAGAATAATCCTGACTTTGTCTGTCTTGCCATAGAATGAAAACACTCTGTGTCCAAGACAAAGGAATGCCAAGGTGGAAGATCTTTGGAGCCTGACCAACTTCTTTGGATTTGCAACCGAAACGTTTGTTTTGGCTGTCAACATCCTGGACAGATTCTTGGCCCTTATGAAGGTACAAGTGTGGCTGTTGATTCATTCTGTGCTAGCAACAGATCTGGAGTCTCCTTTGGAAACCTGGAGTACAGTTCTTTTACCTCTAAAGACAAGTAGCAGGTTGATTTATTTCTCTAATAAGTCTGTAGCCTTTGCCACGTAGATGTTTAAGAAAGGAGGAATTAAGAAAAACAAACCTGTTTGTCTTCCAGACTGTCTCTGAGTACTGTGCTAAAGCTTAACTTAGCTCTGGAACTGATACCAAATGATAAATTTCCTGGTTGTTTTTATCGTGTTTGTGCTGGTTTAAGGCAGGAAATCTGAACCTAAAGCAGTTCCCTGTTATTAAATCAGCAGAAAAACTGAAATTGCATCAGGTTTGTGGTCTGACTGTCCTTGAGGTGGCACCAAAACGGGTGGGAGAGAAGAGCAGAGGCAGGAGCAAGTTGTGGAGGGATGGGGCTGCCTGGAACAGGCTCAGACTGGATCTGTGTGGGCTGTCAGTGAGGGAAGGTGAGCACTGCCGCTCGGGGAAGTGAGGAATTACAGCTCTCAGTGCAGTGGATTTGTGTAGTGATGTGGAACAGCCCCGAACAGAGGCTGCTCAGCTCTCCAACTTCACTTCCTCTGCCCTGGCAGATCGATGCTGCTCGGTGGGCTCTGCCAGCTGGGTTGTGCTCCAGCTGCACTGCTGCAACTGGCTTTGACTGGGGGCGGTGTAGGAGCTGGCTGACACTGGGTTTAGTTGAGATAAGCAAGTCCTTGGCTGTTAAACTGTGAATATTCCAGGTCAGGGTGCTCGTGGGGAGGGAAGTACTCACAGTGCTTCCTGTACTTTTTCAGGTGAAGCCAAAGCACTTGTCTTGCATTGGAGTTTGCTGCATCCAGCTGGCCGCCCGTGTGGTGGAGGAGGAATGCAACATCCCCGCCGCTCCCGAGATCATCCGCATCAGCCAATGTAAATGCACTGTGTCCGACCTGAAACGGATGGAAAAGATCATTTCAGAAAAGTTGCACTTTGAATTTAAAGCTACTACTGCCTTAACCTTCTTGCACTTGTACCATACTATTGTACTCTGTCATACCTCAGAAAGGTGAGTGAGCCCTTTTTGCCCCCCCCTAATTCCCACCCAAAGGGTCACAGCGTTGGCTGTAGAGGAGGCAGCTCCTCAATTTTTTACTTCCTGACAATGGAATGCTTGTTGATCCACCTCCTTCTCCTTTTGGGTGTCTCACAGGAAAGAAGTATTGAATCTGGACAAGTTGGAAGCACAGCTGAAAGCTTGCAACTGCCGTCTGGTCTTCTCTAAAGCAAAAGTAAGTAGAAGTAGTTTTCTTTAACTTCTGAGTAGGGTTATGATTCTTTTTACATTGAGTGCTGTTTTCTTGTCCTTTTAGCCATCTGTCTTGGCCTTGTGCCTTCTCACTCTGGAAGTTCAGATGTTGAAATCTGTTGAGCTGCTGGAGATCCTTCTGCGTGTTCAGAAGCATTCAAAGGTAAATATTGTCAGTGGATTGTTTGTCCGGTTGCTGGGGCTGACACTGTTAGTGATGGAAGATGTTACATTTAAGGGACCCCTTAAGCGGGTCCCTGAGTATGTTTTTAGAGGTTCAGTTTGGCATCAGCTGAAGGAAGCAATTAAAAAACAAACTTAAATGTATAAAAACAGGAGAATTGCTGAGCCGGTGCCTGTGCAGTGCACGCTTTAACAGGCAGCTGATTGAACTTGTACAGCTCTGGCTGTGTGTTCTGGAGAAACTTCCAGTCTGTTCATGGGACTGCTGGGCTGGTTATTTTTTTTTGCCTGAATAACTGGACCCGAGGAAACAGCATGGAGCTGTGTCAGGGGAGGTTTAGGATGGGTATTAGGGAAAGGTTCTTCACCCAGAGGGTGGTCAGGTGTGAAAGACAGCAATTGTACAACCCCAGTTTCTTGAGGGGTGAAAGTAGTTCCTTAAAGGACAGTATGATTCCATTTTAAAAAGGAATTTTAAAATTTTTCGTTCCATTTTAAAATGGAATAACCTTTGTTTCATTTATCCTTGGGAAATGATAATGAAAACGTTAACAACTTGACAGGCAAACTGTCAACTCAGACTTGAACATGGCCTAGTCTGGGAGGTGTGTAGGAGTTGGTGGGAGTTCACCTTCAAAAGCAACTTTGACAAAGGTATCACGGTCATGACTCACTTCTCTCTTGAGTGATGTTTTTTCCAGGGGGGTGAAGTGGAGGGGTTATCTTTAGAGTAACAGACTAAATAAGTTCTTTGGGTTTTGTTTCTTTTCAGATAAGTGATGGTGACCTACTTTACTGGAGGGAGCTGGTCTCCAAATGCCTGGCAGACTATTCCTCCCCTGAGTGCTGCAAGCCTGACCACAAGAAGCTGGTTTGGATTGTTTCCAGACGAACAGCCCAGAACCTCCAGAACAGCTACTACAGCATTCCCGAGTTGCCAACGATTCCGGAGGGGGGATGTTTCAACGGGAGCGAGAGGTCAGTAAAACTGCCACCACCTGGTTCATTTGTTGGGAATTCTCCTTTTCCTGTAGTGTTCATGGCAGCTCCCTGTCACTGGGCTTTGTTAAAATGACCTTTCCCACTGTTCCTTCCAGTGAAGACTCCTGTGAAGACATGAGCAGCGGAGAGGAAAGCCTGAGCACTTCTCCTCCCAGTGACCTGGAAGGCACCTTCTTCTTTGAACTCAAACCCAAACCCAAGTGGCAAACTCTCAGCTGTGGGTCTTAGCATTACATCTGGACTGTATTAGGTTGAGGTCTCTAATGCACCATAGAGTCTTTTGGCAATAATAAATAAGGTGGTAATCTGTAAACTGTATTGAGGCAAAGACTTGCTGTGGTATATCAGTGCTTTGAATGCCTGCCTTGATTTTTCTTGTTGTTGTAATTTTAAGGAATTAAAAACAAAACACTTTCAGGTCCCCAGATCAGCAAAAAAAAAAGTTCTTGTCTAGCTCTGTTGTCAGCAGCCATGAATGTAGTCCTGTACCTGGTGGTCCAAACCCCTCAGCAGCTCAACACCTGAGCTGATTTCAGGGTCTTGACTGAGAAGCATGGAGCAAGAGTGAGAGGCTTTCCTGGAATTGAAACGTGCTCCATGGGGACAGTCAAGCATGGGAGAGGCGCAGGAGGAGCTGTGCAGTCCTTGTCCTGGGATGTTCTTGGGTTTCAGCATGACAAACACCCGGGCTTGGCTTGGATTCAGCTTTGACCCTGCTTTGAGCAGGAGGTTGGCCTGGAGTCCCTCTTGAGGGCAGCTCCACTCCCTGCTGCGGTGGGATTAGATCCAGCAGGCTGAGTAGGTTGTGTGGAATGGTGTGTGTACATAGTGCCAGGCTGGAATGATTTACTCTCCAATGGGCCAAACACAAACTGCTTTTCCTTTTCAGCAGGGTCTTGAGTTGTGTACTCCCAAGTAGCAATTTTTGAAGCTTGGCTTTTATTAACTTCAGGGATCCCTATTTCACACCAGGAGTGTGTGTGGTCAGCAGGAGTTTTCTAGTCAATCTAGTTTTCACTGAGACAGTACAAAGTGCGTGGCCAGGAGTAATTTCATGTTTCCTTTAATACGGCTGTTTTTACCCTGAAATCCACATTGTATACTTCAGTGTCTTTCAAATCTTAACATGTCAATCCATGCTATTAGCTTAGACTTCTTAACATGGTAAACCCTGCTAAGTCTACATTCCTTTGAATATTTAACCCTTGTAGTTGTTTTTCAGTATATTCATGTTATTGATTGAGTCATAATCAGACTTGTTTGCATGCTGATGTGAAGCAGTTAGTGCAGGAGAAGTTGGTATTATGCAGTAATATCAGGTAAATGTGATGGTGAAGTAGTTAATGTAACGGTTTTTCCTCTGAACTGTGTTATCAAAGCACAAATTGAAGTATGATGGTGTCTCTCCGTGGTGAGAACACGGCTAAAGCGGATTAAACGAGCTCAGATTCACGGTGTGGGGTTGTGGTGGTGCCAAAGTAGAAATGAAGGAGCAAACAAGCTAAAAGCTGTTCCGTAGGTGCAAGCGTTGCTTTAGGAAGGTAAGAGTGATGCTGTTCAAGTCCATAACTGTTATGTGATTTCAGTTTTCTAAAAACAAACACAAAAAAAAAAGTTTACAAAAAATGTATATGAAAATGTAAATTAAAAAAATGTACAGAAAAAAAATTTAAAATTAAAAAACCGAGCAGAAAATACTGTATTTTTTTACATTGTATGTAACTTTTTGTAGGTCTGTGGCATGTAGATAGTAATTTATTGTGTACTCTGTATGATACAAATACTTGTACCTCTGAAGACTTCTTGCTGCAAGTCTCTGCTCCCTTCAGGAGTCCTTGGGTGAGGAACCTACGGAGTCTTGTTTCAGTTGAGAACAAAAATAAACCAAGTGCTGTATTTG